AATTATTTAATAATTATTATATAATTATTTATATAAATACCTTTGGCAATTATTATTCATCTCTATCGTGAAGGAAATATAACTATACAGGATAATGTTTCGCCTAAATATCATGAAATTAATTTATCTAAACTAATTAATCTAAAACTAATTTATTTATCTCAAAGGATATTTTGCATATAATTCATTCTCACGATTTTAATTATTATCTGACACCACATTTACTATATACATATGCATTACAGTTGCACGTTCTCCCCTAATTATAATGACACAAAAGGTATTGTAATTTAATTTATTCGCATCCATTTTATATATTATATATTATATAATTTTATATTTCAATCGCGTTACGTTAGTTATTACCTGTATACACTGTAGTTTCTATGAATTATGCATACGTACACATTATTTAGACAGATCGTTGCTCGTTACAGATCTAAGTCAAGCAACCCAACATTGTTACCGTATAATTCACAGTATAAACAAGTACCTGCATCTAGACCTTTGGCCACACACTCGCACTTACACCACGGACCCAGAAGACCTTTCCGCTTCGCTTTTCGAGCGAGCGAAATTTCAGGCAATCGGCCGACGATTATTCATAGAACGATACGAAATCGGGTATCACTTGTCGCGTATGAAAAAGTGATTTTACAGATGAATACGGTGTTCCAGGCTTGTCGCATCGGAAAATCATTATGCGTCATCTCGCGTTGCGCGTCGCTGTAATAACGCGAGCACAAGTATACGTACGCTCGCCGCCATCATAAATCCATTATGGCAATATCCGTGGCTATAAAGTCGCTTCAACTTTAGATGGCTGAATAAGAAATCGTATCACCTTACTTAGTCGACCAGCTTTCCCTTTTTTCTCTCTCTCTTACTCTTCTTCTCTGTTTTCCCTCCTTTCTATCCTTTCTCCTCTATTGAGGAGGAAGATCGTGGTAGCGACCCCCTATTACGAGTAATTGCCTCCTAAATTTTCAAAGGGTGGAACGAGATTGTGCGCCAGGTAGACCCTCTTTTTTCGAGGTAATTAACGAATTACAAAATTCGCCATTTATTTCTGAGAAGACACGATGCTCTATCCTACGGACCAGAGGTGGTGATGTGGGGTTTAAGCACATTCGTGTAACTAAAGTTTTATCAAATGTCCTCTGAACTGTGCAAAAGTGTCGAATAATCTTCGAATTTTTAATCGTATA